AAAAAGAGAGAAAGGGAGATAAAGAGAGAGAGAGAGAGAAAAAGAGAGAGAGAGAGAGAGAGAGAGAGAGAGAGAGAGAGAGAGAGAGAGAGAGAGAGAGAGAGAGAGAGACGGAAGGAGAGCGAGGAAGAGAAGGAGATATGACACAATGATAGCGCTTAATGGTTGCACGCGAAAGACAGAAAAAGGTATAACATCAGAGCGCCGGCGTTACTCCCGACCGGTTTCGACCCCATCGCCGGTCTGAGGTCATCATCAGGGGACTGATGAAAAGCGCATTGCAAAGTACCATGATCCCTCCTCTTAAGTAGTGCGTTCGGATACCATACCCATGCTTTCTCATCTCGATTTCTTACTTGGCGCCGTCGAGAGGGAGGCGGGAATAGTAGGATGCAGAGATAGGCGGGAAAACAAGAAACGAAGAAATGAAAAAAACGAAAAAAAGCGCAGGGCGGGAATGATGTCCATCAGAGAGAGACAAGAGATACAGAGGGTAGGGAGGAGAGGCATACGCAAGGCCATAGTAGTGACTGCAGGGACGATGGCGGGAGACAGATGATGAAAGCCAGAGGTAGCAGTCAGCGGACAGAGCCCGAGGGGGAGGAGCAGGTGACGATATGCACTAGAAGGAGGGAGGGGAAGAGGCCAGCGTAGGGACGTCACTCGAGGGAGGCGCAGGCAAAGGAAAAACAGTAGACGATGACACCCGACGGTCAGGGAGCTTATCAGATGCGATATCTGGGGATTTGGTTCAAGCCTTAGGGAAAAAGACAGGCGGTGCTAGGGGCCAAAGGAGTAGAAGAAGGAAAAACGAATCTGGTCCAGGGGCAAGAACAAGAACAAACGAAGGGTACAGAAAAACGCGGAGTGCAGAAGAGGACAAAAGAGGAAGACCATGGTTCAATCGGCCAGTACACGTTCGGGCCTAGAACCCTTCCAGCTATCCCGCCCCTTTTCTTGTGTTGCGGTACGAGTTCAGGTCAGGCTGCTTTCTGGGCAGCCTGCGACCTGTGCCTAGTCCAAGCTCAAGGATATTTCTCCAAAGGTCAAGCCCCTCGCTGTTATCAGCCGATATTTCCTGAATGCCTCATAAAAAAACAATCCTTCGGGAACCCTCTTAGTCTTACTTCCCGCCTTAAAGATAATAGCGCCAAACCCACTCCCGTATGATCTGAGGAGTGGGCTACAATCCTATGCAACTGGCACTTAACTGCTGCCTTCTTAAACTGAGTGGGCCCGAACGACCAAAAATCCTTAGTAGACTGAATATGAATGGGCCTATCGCCCCAAATAGTCGCCTGGTTCTTAGTTGTGGCTACACATTCCACACTAGGAGGCATGGCAGAGCATATGATGGAGCATCCAAGGAATTCCCATCTGCCTGTACCCTCGTCAGTCCTGACCAAGGACAGGTTCAAATGATATGCGGCTTGGAACTTCTCCAGTAGAGATGCCGCTTTACCCAACATTTCGTCATTTAATTTTGGCAGGAGCAAGAAGATGCTAATATCATCTACCAACCTGATTCCAGTCAAATATCTGATGTCAGTACCAATAGAGGCGAGGAAAGCACACTCATTATATGAGCATAGAAGACAGGCAAGCGTGGGGCTAGAGCTTTTTCCCATCGGGATCCCCACTGTCTGTCTTATGATCTTTTTTGCCAAACTTGCATTGATGTTTTCTAAATCGAATCGAACAAACTCAATAATCATTGGGAAATCTAGGGACACCCATCCTTTTTCACCGAACCCTGTTGAAAAACAAGCCCCTTTCCCAGTTCTGTTAACGCGCACATAACTATGCCTTTGCCTGTAAAACACATCGCATACCCATTCGACAGCTCTAAGGATCGATTGGTGTGGCAAGCGAGTGAACATTTCTTTGACGTCAAAACAAGCACCCAACGGACAACCGTTCTTCAGTCTAGAAGCATGCCTGCTAAGCGACTAGATTTTCCCTTTGAGAAGCGTGGTAGATTTCAGATTGAAGTGGGAGGAAGGGGGAAGGCTCCAAAGTAGAAAATTGATAGCCCTGAAGACAACCTTCAAGGCTCTTACGCTTGGCTAAGCGAAAGAAGGTGAGATCGGCCGCAATCTGGTTATGTCCTTATGCTTCGGGATACCATAGCAGCATCCGAGTGTTTCCTTGTGGTTCCAGGGAGCAATCTTCTTTGCCCCAATGGCATTGTACCTTTCCTGACATATTTTCATAACCTCACTGGTTTCCTCTTGTGCCACCTCGAAGCGTGTATTTTCCCAGAACAGTCTACCCCGAGCCTGAAAAAAGATACTCCTACAGCATACTAGTGAGTCCCCAATGTAAAGGTCGATGGGGCAGATCACAAGGCCGTCGAGTTGTTCCTTCCATCCTATCAGTGATGCTAGCCTGTCGTCGTCCTCGGGAGGAAGGCACAACGATCCCGGACAGTGCTGCAAGTTGTTCTCGACAATCTTCCTAATGTATCCAACGGTAGGCACACGCTCACAAGGTAACGAATTTCTCGAGTTAGTCATAAATCCAGGGACATCCTCGAATTTTGAAAAACGGAACACAACATGTCCTTCTTCATTGGTCGGAAGCCCAGAGGCCCTTGCCGAGCAAAGGCACTCAGACACATTTTCCTTCGCGATCTGCCTGTGGTTTGGCTGGTTGGTTAATTTTTTTATTGTTCCTCAAATTCAACATGATGGCATTGAAAAAATAAAAAAAAATCGTAATGACCTACAAAATAGCAAACCAAAATGTTTATTTTGGCTGGTTGATTTTTTTTGTTTATCTTTATTAATTCAAAAAAAATATTATTCCTGAGAATGTTTTTTTGAAAAATTATAGGGAGTTACCCTTCGATGTCCCCCACCCTCCTATTAAAAAAAAAACATACCCCCCCAGCCAAAAAAATAGTTAAAAAAAATCCGCTCTCCGTGAACTCCATGAACTCCCATATCGTGAACTCCGTGACCTCCGTGATCGGTCTCCTTCCACAGACCCCATGAACGGTGAACGGGGGTACGACACTACCCCAAAGTAAAAAAAAAAGACGAAAAAAAAAAAAAAAGTTTGTTCGGGGGTTGGGGGGCGGTGAAAGGTCAAGAAAAATAAATAAAAAATTGATTGATTGATTGATTGATTGATTGATTGATTGATTGATTTATCGACTGATTTATTGATTGATTGATTGATGAATGATTGATGATTGGTTGATTGATTGATTCGTTGGTTGGGGGCTACGTGACACCCGCGGCCTAGTCCGCGGGTAATTCGGCCGCCGTGGCCAATGAGGCCCTGTTCGCGGCCTAGTTTTTTACTATTTTTTTTTAATACCCCTAATAGTACGAAAAAAAAAGGGGTCGTAGGGCTTGCAAAACCCTAAAATCCTATGTTTTTTATTTTGGAATCTGACCTCGTTTAAGATTTATAAAAAATAAAAAAGGAAAATCGATTTAAACAAATTATGAAAAAATAAATAAAAAGAAAAGCAACATTTTTTTTTTGTCATTTTTTTTCATGAGAGATATGGTCGCTGAGTTGTCCTCTATTTTTTGATAAATGGTTTTCAGGTCTGTGTCAGGAAATTGGGTCAATTTGGGTGTTAAAAAAAAAAAGTGCAAAAATTGAAAACAAATAAAGAAAAAAAGGGGTCACGCTGGGGTTGGTGTGTGTGTGTGTGTGTGTATGAGA